CCGGCACCGTTTCTCCCCAATTCTCTTCCCGCAGCGGTGGGAGGGGAAAGGGATGGGTTATCCCTCAGGTTTTTATCCGTCCGTGGGGGGGGCATCAGGTTGCCCAGGGGTGGAGGGCCTGCCCCACATGGAATGCGCCCGGGCGCTTTCCCCTCGCTCCGTTTGCAGCGTGGTCGGAGTCAAGTCCTCGCCCCAACTCGGTCAGAGGTCCCTCTCGTGAACTCCTCCCGCCTCGAATCCACAACTGTTTTTGCGTGTCCTGTTTTTTTCATCCGAGATCTGGCAAACATAACTTTTTCTTTTTCTCTCTTTCATAATTTCAAATGCTTCTCTGTGGTTTCATTCGCGGCGCTGATTTCGGGGTGGGTGCCGGTAAGGGCTGCGGTGGCTGGGGGAAATCCGGTTTTCTGCTGCTCTGCTCGGAACGAAAGGGACCCCCAGCGGCGGTCTGTTCCCGACCGCCTCTTGTTAAACATGTATCTCTGCATGCACACACGCAAACATGGTCACCACACCTTAAAAAGGATATTCTGGCTTTGGGGAAAAGTGCAGAAAAGGGCAACTCGAATGATAAAAGGGTTGGAACACTTTCCCTGTGAGGAAAGGTTAACATGCTTAGGGCTCTTTAGCTTGGAGAAACGACGACTGAGGGGTGACATGATCGAGGTTTATAAGATTATGCATGGGAAAGAGCAGGTAGAGAAAGAGGTACTTTTCTCCCTTTCTCACAATACAAGAACTCATGGGCACTCCATGAAATTGCTGAGCGGTCGGGTTAGAACGGATAAGAGGAAGTACTTCTTCACCCAAAGAGTGATTAACACTTGGAATTCACTGCCACAGGAGGCGGCGGCAGCTCCAAGCATGGACGGCTTCAAAAGGGAATTAGATAAGCATATGGAGCAGAGGTCCATCAGTGGCTGTTAGCCACAAGGTATAGATAGGGGCTCTGGGGCAAGGGATGCTCTGTCTTCTTGGTGCTTGGGGGGGACAACAGTGGGAGGGCTTCTAATGTCCTGGCCCCACTGGCGGACCTCCTGATGGCACCTGGTATTTCTCGCCACTGTGTGATACAGAGTGTTGGACTGGATGGGCCTTTGGCCTGATCCAACATTGGCATCTCTTATGTTCTTATGGAAAGCTGTTCTGTTTGTGATACTTCTTGGGCAAGCCCCAGGACATGTAGGCCCTGGCGGGCCCCCAGTTTTCACGCACACACCCAATAGACGCATTGCAGTCTCTCTCTCTCTGAGAAGAGAGCTCAGTGGTGCAGCTGGTTCGTTACAGATTCTCTGCCCGGCATTTCAGTTCTTTCCTCTTCCCCTTTCAAACAACTTAAAAATGAGAGGATGCGTGTCCATGCAAGCAGACTTCAACGAGAAGGGGGTTTTGACCTGTGGAACTCTTTTCCACCAAAAGTAATAAAAGCTGATGGCATAATTAAGGTCTTCTTTTAAGGACACGGCAAATTTATGGGAGGGCAGAATAGCATGGACTGAAAGCATAGGATGTCACTAACGCTAGAAATGCAACGCTTGGGTATTCCCTGAGGGGTCTGAACAAACGAACAAAAAAAGCCCCAGTATTTCCAGTGCAGGAGCTGATCAAAACCTTGAGTGTTTCCACAGTCTCGTTCTCCTCACTTGTGTGTTCCTGTCGCTTCAATTCAATATTACACGGATTTATGTCCCGCATAAAAACCTGCAGTTTTAAATCTGCAGGGAGATATGTCAGACGTAAATCGGTGTAGTATCGAATTGACCACCAGAGGGAGCAAAACACATGCGAAAAAGGAAAAAAACTGAAGCAACAGGAACACACACGTGTGGGAAATGAGGACGCGGGAAAGCCCCTCGCCTCCTGTGATGCTCTGCCATTGAGGATAGCCCTCATAACAACCCTGCGGGGTAGGTCACTCGTTTTCGTTTTACGAGGCAATGAGACCACGTCTAAGGCTGTGTTGGAAAAGGCAACGCCCTCAGAACTCATGTTCTGCTTAACGGCTACGGCCTGTGTGTAGAGTTGTCAACTCTGCCTTGGGAAACTCCCTAGAGATCTGGAGGCGGTGCCTGGGCATAAAGTTTAGCAGGGATCTGAGGTCACTTCTACCCCACGGGGTTGTTACGAGGGCTATCCTCAATGGCAGAGCATCACAGGAGGCGAGGGGCTTTCCTGCGTCCTCATTTCCCACACATGCGTGTTCCTGTAGATTTAAAACTGTAGATTTAAAACTGCAGGGTTTTATGCTGGACATAAATCCGTGTAATATTGAATTGAGTCTCAGCTCAGGAAGGAGGGCTCCAGAGCAAACTTAATTGATGCAGGAGCCAAATCGCTCGCTCGCTCGCAACTTCAATGCCAGTAGCTCACAAAGTAGAATTTTTGCTCACGAGACTCCACAGCTTAGAGGGAACATTGCTCCCATCTTATTTTACTCCCCCCCCCACACACACACCTTTTCCTCCTGCCTCAGGGCACTCATAGGCAGCTGACTTAATAGCATCCTCCCTCATGATGGGGCTTGCAAGGCAAGAGACGTTTGGAGGTGGTTTGCCATTCCCGCCTCTGCATGGAGATCCTGGACTTCCTTGGTGGTCTCCCATCCAAGTACTAACTAGGTTCGACCTTGCTTCGCTTCCAAGATAAGATGAGATGACACTGGTGAGCTATCAGAGAACCAGCTTATTAGACCTGACTAGGTTTTATCACTGAGAAGAAGAAGAAGATTGGATTTATACCTCACCCTTCAATACCCCTCACTGCCAGAGGAGGTGGTGGCAGCTACCAGCATGGACGGCTTCAAGAGGGAATTGGATAAGCATATGGAGCAGAGGTCCATCAGTGGCTATTAGCCACAAGGTATAGATAGGGGCTCTGGGGCAAGGGATGCTCTGTCTTCTTGGTGCTTGGGGGGGACA